CAAGAGGTCAAAATAATTAAAAAACGAAAAGTGTTAATGTCCCCTTTTGGTACTGTTAGTCAAAGATATAAAAGATGAGCTTCCCCTCACCAATAGTGTAATATTAAGAGGGATGTTTATACTGTGAAGTCAGATGTGATTAATTTTAGAATAAATCAGTTTTTACAAAGTGTATTAGAAGTAGAACTAATAAAATTATTTCAGTACTACCATGTTAGTATACAATAATTAAAGAGAAAATGAGCACATCAAATTAAAGGAATGAAAACATGATTTATAATATTCATAAAGATTAATAACTTGCAAATGAATAACTAATTTCTTGAAACAGTTTTGGTTTATTAAAAAAACAGAAGTGTGAAAAGATGGATTCATTTCAAATTGACCCATTTTAGAAAAAAACAAGTTGATTATTAGCAAAGCAAATGAGAACCAAGAGAAATAATCTATCCTAATTGATCATTAATTAATTTTGACTGGTTATTTTTGTTAGATGTTTGTGTGAAATTATTAATATTAAAAGTGCTTCAATAATTTAGCCAAGTATTTGACATAAGTTATTTTAATGATATATGAAAGACATCTTGTTAACATTCTGGAATGAATAACTTTATTCATACAAGCATAAATATGATGATCATAATAGCAAATTTAGATTTGTAGTCTCATTTTTTAAATTGATTTTGGTACCACCAGACATTTTACCTAATGTTGTGTAACCTTTTGGTATTAATCTTGTTAATTTGAAGTCTGCAGTGCAACCATAGAAATAAGTAACTTACTGAAAATTACATAACTTGGCATGTAAAATTTTATAGAAGTTTGAGTATTGACTTAGGTAGAGTTAATAAGGTTTGTTATTTCATACTTTTAGTCTGAAAAATTGAAGCCTCAAAATTCAGCAGATGAAGCTTTGCTTGATTATTCTTCTAACATTGACTTTTTACCAGTAAAAGCTGAAAATGAATCCAGTAACGTTGAAGCTGACTCTTGACATTAAAGAGATAGATATGACTATTGTTCAAGCACCTTCTATCTTAAAAGATAAAATGAGATTTTGTTTCACTTTTGAAGAGAAAATTGCTGCTACTATAAGGGGGAAAATGACTTCGTTGTGGATGAATGAATATATTTGTTCTTTGACAGCTGCAGCTGTACCAAACTTTGGTCATGGCATTACTAGAAGGTACTTTATTTAAAATATGGTGCAACTGTCATGACCACTGAGTTCCAGGTTGATTAATGGGCTGCATGTAAACTCTGACAATTAAGTATGAGAAGCAGAAAAACAAGTAGCTGAGCAGAATCTTCAGCACTGGGCATCTTTTATTTCATACTTTTTTCTTCCCATTTAACTCCACACTTTCTATAACACATTCAAATCTTAGGCTCACAACAGTAAGAACATGAACATTTCATGCTGTGGGGAATCATTTAGACTGCTTCAAAGCTCATAGGTACCTAAGGACATCTGCTGATGTCTAGTGCAGGTGTACAGAAAACAGTTGTGTAAACTGATTTGTAGGAGTTTATTTTTATTTTTCAAATTAATTTTATTGATACATTTTTGATATTCATAATAATCACATTCATCATAGGAAATCTGCACTTGTACATAATATGTATTGATTATTTTTCTCCATTTTCCTTCCTTCCCTTCAACTTTTCTTCCTTTCCTGATTTACAAAAGCTTCGTTTCCATTTTTTTCCTTTTATTCTCTTTTTTCCTTTTCTCTTTCTTTTCTTCCCCCTCCTCTCTCCCTTGTTTCCTTCCCCATTTGATCCTTTTCTTTTACTTCCAATATCTGTTATCTATTTTGGTCCCCATTGTAGGAGTTTTTTAAATGCATGCTCTAGAGATTATCAGTCAGCAGTAGGTGATGAATGCACACAAATTTTTCTCATGCAGTTCTTGGTGTTCTGTGGCTCCAGTACAGGTAGTGATGACTCACGCTTTTGTGAAATAATCAGTTTACAAAGCTTTCATACAAATCTTATCAGAGTCTTTCAACAACTTTTAAAAGAAAAGATGGGTGTTATTATTCTTGTTTTATAGATAAGGAAACTGAGTGGTTTGCCCAAGGTGGTACAGCTAATAAGTCCTTAAACTCTGCCATCCATATCCTCCTTATGATTATCTGATGCTTCCCTGTTTGTAGATTGTGGCCTTTTCATTTAAGAAAATGCTGCACCTGAGCTTTAACTTCAGTTCCTCCTCTTCCTCCTCCTCCTTCCCTTTTTCTCTTTCCTCTCCTCTCTTCCTCTTTTTCCTCTTTTTTGTATATGTAGAGCTAATTCAAAACATAGCTCTTTCAAAACATAGTTCTTTCAAAATCCATTATCTGTAAGTTGAAAGGATAAAGTAAAAGAAGCAACAAGAGAATTCAAATGGGATTTTTTGAGAGTTTGAGAGAATATTAGAAATCACAAGTTACCTGTTGTGCAGGAAACTGTATTTTAACACCTAACTCGTCTGTTATATAATGGGGAGCCGAGTTCAAGCTCAGTACTTTCTTCTCTATTAACCTCTTACAGAGTTAAGAAGAGGAATATCAGGAATAAAAATAGAAAATGTATTTTTAACATTTATTATTATTATCTAAACTGGTTGCTCTTTGTCAAATACTTTCTATTTAATTGTAAAATATCATTTATTTGATGTATCAGATACAACTAATGCCTATAATTGTAACTAGCATCATATTGACCTTATCATGGCTATAATATTGGTAGGACAGTGACTCCATCACTCAGTCTCCATCTGAAGCTTTGTACCTGGTCAGTTGAGTTCATATTTACTTTCTGGGAGACTCAAGGAAGGCAGTTTAAGAGATATCCAAACTAATTCTCAAAGATTTGAGACTTTGAATGGTAGTACTTCTTACTTTGTGGAGGTATAAGATATATAAATTGCTAGATAGATGAATAAATTCTCAAGTTAATCAACTACTACATGTAACCTTTTAATCTCCTGGTATGTCCATAGCTGATTCTATGTTTATGTACATTACAAACACTAAAGAAATGTGCTTGAGGAAACTCGCAGGAACCAGAAAGGACCTGGGGATATGTGAGAACATAGAAGTCCTACTCTGAGTTATTTTAATCAGATAATAGTTAAACACTTAAGGACTTCCTGGATAAATCCCTTCATGAATAATAAAGAGATAGGTCCACATCACTTCTCTAAAGAGGAAGGTATTTTACATCAACAGTATTCTTTAGATAATTACTAAATATTTAGTATAGCCTGCCTTTTAGAGTACTATAAATGCATCTGTAGCTATATGCCTAATATTCACTCATAAAATATTTCTGTGCAAGTGTCTAATTTCAAATTGGTTGACTCGCTGGGCATGGTGGCTCACGCATGTAATCCCAGCATTTGGGAGGCTGAGGCAGGAGGATCTTGATAGTTTGAGACAAGCCTGGGCTACAAAGTGAGCTCAAGAGCAGCCTGAAGTACACAGAGAGACCCTGTCTCAAAAAAATTGGTTGGTTTACTCCCATTTTTATGAAGTACTGCCTTCTGTATATGTTTTGATTTGAGTCTGAGAGCTATGTGTGTTGTATAATAAATACTCTGTGTCCAATAATGAGCTCTCTCTGTGTATTTCTTTTATGAGTCAGGCATTATATTAGGTACATTGAGCTCACATGGAATACAGGTTAATTACACAAAAGTAGTAGCATAAGAGAGGTGTGTACTAGGGGAAAGGGAAACTAATGGCAATGGAATTCAGATCTGTGCTGGGAGAGGAGGTGAGCTCTGGGTTGGTAATTTTGAGATCAACATACCTGGGAGTTCTGTGTAAGGATATGGGTCATCAGAAATGACTCCTAATGTGTACTCCTAATGTAAGAGGAGAGTCATTCCTAAATTGGGCAGGCTTCTAGAATCATCTAGTCCAGAGAATCTCCAGGAACAAATCATCCATTTGAAGAGAAAGGCATTCATAGTCTTAAGTACATTTTCAAACCAACTGCTAAAAGAAGAGGTTTGTGGACAAGATGGCTGTATAATTTAAAATACACTTTAAAACAAGTACAGTTGGTGGGTCGTTGGGATAACAGACTCAAACAGGGAAATGAAAAATACAGTCACCTTATTTTTGGAAGGAGAAGTGTCCAAGGCTTTTTATGAGGTGAGGGCAGGAGAGTTGATCTAGTAAAAATTTCTCTCGGGAGAAAAAATGGTTTCACACTCAAAGAGGCTTTCTGTACTCTTTTCAAAAGAAAGGGAAGTTAGGATCAGCAGAGAACAATGACTTTTAAGGACCTCACAGGCCTGAATATTAAAAGGGTCTTGGACAGTACACTATTGTGCTGTCACTGTGGATAAAGGTGGGATTAAAGGAAGAAGGGAGGGGGGAGGAGGAAGAGGATGAGAGGAGAGGACCGGGAGAGGAGAAGAGGTCAATGGAGGGGGAGGAGGAGGAAGGAAAAGGGAAGACCGAGAAAACTAAGAAGTAAGAACAAGAGAAGGAGGTAGGAAGACAGGTAACGGGAAGAGGGAATGAGTAGAGTAGTGGGGTGGGTGGGAAGCATGGACACCAGGGGTAATAGATGAGACCTTATAGCATGTCTGATATGGTGCTTGATTAATAAGGCCATGAACTCTGAGGAACCTGGAGTGTCAAAGCAGCCCTGGGTGAGAAGAGACCCCAGCGCTGTTGGAAAGCACTGTCATCTGGTTCTCTGGAACGTAACTCCCTATGTCCCTGAGTTGTCTGCAGGCAGTGTCCAGGGACTGCACCCCAGATGACCCTGGACTTTTGATGGGATGCAGAGAGCAGACGCAAATACAAGCGCTCCACAGGATGACCAGCTCAACACCTGCGCCAGATCAGACGCGGATCCTGGCTGACTCCTCCCTAAGGCCCCGCCCCCGCCCTCATGCCCCGCCCCTCCGCACTCATGCCCCCGCCCCGACACGCCCACTTCGGCTCTAGCCACGCCCCTTCCCAACTCGCACTTTAAATTCCCAGATCCTCCGCCCTTCCACAGGGTCGCACTGAGAACTCGCGCTAGTTGACTTCCGGTGTGGGCCCCCTGCGCGTGCGTGCGCGCTCGATCCCGGGACGTGGTACTGGCGGGCGGCTGGCGTCTTCTGTGTGCGCAGCTGAGGGCGGGCTTTTCAAATTCCTGTGTGGAGAGTGGCGACGGCCTCGACCGTTGGCGTTGGAGATGGAGGGGCAGACGCAATGGGGGCGCGAGTTCTGCCCGGCGGGGCTTCGCGCTCGGCAGGTGAGGGGGAGGCAGGCTCGCGCGGCAGCCCTGTCCTGTGGTGAGGAAGCCTCACTGCGCCCGGACTCGCGCGGCCGGAGACAAAGGGAGGAACTGGGACAGTAGCTCAGTGGCCCCCGAAGGGCCTGGGGATCTGCAACCCCGGATTCCTCAAGGAGCAAGCTGCGGCCTGCAGTGGGGAAGAGATGCGGACCCCGCCGCGCGTGTCCGGCGCTCTGCGGGCCGCCTAACCCCAGGCTTGGACGCTACTGTGTGATGCAGGGGGAGTGGGACCCCGGGGTTTCCGAGAAAGCCATCAGGCCAGCGGGGGACACGTTCCTTAGCACTAGATTTACTAATACAAAGCACAGTTCTTGGAGCGATGTCCATGTACGACAGGAATTGTTGAGAGGGAGGGCTATGGGAAAGCGGACTGCAACCTCACAACTTTTGAAAAAGGTGGAAGTGTGACAGTGGGTTCTTCCACAAAAAGGCAGCTAGAAAGGTATGAGGGTGAAGCTTAGAGTTGGATAAAAGTTTGCTGTTAGGTTTTCAGCTTTGTAAAGTATGCATTAAAAACTCTTTAACATAGACCAACATTATTTCATGGCCACATCTGTAATTAAAATGCTTTATTATACTTCCTATTCTTAACCATAAATTTAGGATTTTAAAACTCTTTTAGCTGGATCTAGATTTCATTTTAATCTCCACCGTCTTTTACCTGCTTTTGAAATACAGTAGTTTAAGTAAGCCATACAAAATGACCAGTTAAGTCAAAATGAATAGAATATTTATAATTTCTTATGGTGAAACCTAATACCTTTGCTTAGAAGACTGAATTCTGCTTAGCACATACAGCCTTGTTATGAAGTCTTCAAAAACACTGTGAGAAATAAATCATCAAGAGTTGTGCAAAAAGAAATCCAGTACCTTTAGTAGTAATTTGTGCTGTTTTATGAAAATCTTTTCAAAAGTTTCAAAGATTTTGATGCAGAGTACTTCTTGTTTTGTACTTTGGCTATCTTGATTGTTTCGCTACATGATCTCGATATGTTGTGAGTGTCTCATAGAAGTGTTGCTTTATTAGCTGTGTGCTACAGTAATATTTAGGAATGGTATGGAAGAGAAAATAGAGACAATAAGGTCGCGAAGGAAGTTTAGCTGCATGGAATGAAAATAATCGTTTAAATATTAAATAATACATAAAGGCTACGTTATATGAACGTGGGAAACTACTGTGCTTATCTACTCATCATTATAAAAATAAAATAAAAAGGTGTTTCTTTGAGTCTCTGAGAAAAATCACAAAGTAGATTTTAAGCTATCAAAAATATGGAGTCAGTAAGAGAGTGTTATATATATATATATTTTTAGGGGGGTACCAAGGATTGGACTCACGACATTATGCTTGCCAGGCAGGCGCTTATGCCACTGAGCTAAATCCCCCCCCCCCCAATGCTATATTTAACACTAATTTTTTTTATATGAGTGAAACAGCAATCTAATTAGGCTGAGACCAGAGCTTCTGAGGTGATTAGTACTAAACCCTTCTGCTCAAATCTCGATGCCATCTCTTATTCCTCGTAGCAGATAAAGTTGATTTTGGAATTAGATTCAAGTTAAATTCAACTTTGCTTATTTTCCAGCATTGAATACATTACCTGCTTTTTCTAATTTTAATTTCCACAATTTAGAAAGACTGTAATGCCTATCCCAGAGAGTTATTAGATTTTGAGAACCTCAAATGTTTAAATAAATATATATATGAACTTAAGAATTCTCTCTCCATTTGATACTCAGGATGACCGGTATTGATTCCTGACTTTTACTGCACTTACACCATTCTTAAAATTTATAGTCTCTCTTAGAAAACTGAGTTACACTGTATTTACCCTCTGCAGGGTTTTCTCCCTCATCTTCACCTCAGTGTCTTGACTAACCTGTCCTTAAGTTCATTCATTAGTGAATGATAAGTTCTATCAGGATTACTTCTGGCTAGTTTCTTATCTTACCAGCAACTGAACTTCTTTGAATTTCCTTTGTACAATATTTCTGAACCCTTTCCTGATCTGTCCCCAGGCCCCCTTAACGTAGATTTATTTGTTTGTTTGTTTGTTTTTTTGTTTGTGATGCTGGGATCAAACTCAGGACTTTGAACGTGGTAGGCCAAATATTCTGCTGAGCCCAGCCCTATGTTTTTAATTTTGTTTGTTTTTGAGACAGGTTCTCACTATGTAGTTAAGGCCTTGAACTCACTATGTAGCCCTGGCGAACTCTGGCAATTTTATCCCAAATACTGGGATTATGGGCATGTGCCACCATACCTAGTGTAAGTTTTTAAATTTTAAGGTGCTGTCCTACTTCATTCTTAGGCTTGTTTTATCAGCTTGACTTTGTATTTACAGGATCAGACTGTTTCACTTGATTATAAACAAGTCTTTATTCAGAAAAATTAAACCAGAAATTGAAAAGGATTGTTGTGTTCCATTCTCTGCTCAGGAAAACATGGTTTTGTCATTGGTCCTAATCAGCTGTCTCTACCTGGGCATGTCCTTGTAAGTGAAGCAGCAAGAGATGATTTTAGCTCCTTGTCCTTCCATTTTTGAGGTCATGGTGTCTCCCTTACCAAGTCAGTATTCTTCCATTTTTGATGTCAATAAATATCACCATTAAGTGCATAGTGTGTATGCTCATTACATAATCATTATTCTCTTTGGAGATGGCACTAGACTTCAGTTCTTCCCTAGCAGCACCTTTACCTGTAGTATCTAAAGGACAAGTCCTTTAGCTTGACTCCATCAGCCCTTTCTTTGGGAGAGCTATTTAGTATTGCGTGTCCAGAGATTTTTTTTCCTGCATGTAAAGAATAGATGTGTGTGTGTATATATATATATATATATATATATATATATATATATACACACACTAAAAGAAGTTGCACAACACTGGCCAAAACAACCTTTTAAATTATTATTAGCTCTTAACTACATTGAAAAGCCATGCATACACGTAACAAATTATCCTGCTTCTGTCTTTCTTGTCAGATCCACTTAATTCACACTACCCTGAGATCTGCGTCAGCAAGGAAGGTAGCATTTACTATGTATATTAATTGGGGTGCATAGAGGACCAGAAAATAAATATTTTTAGCTTTGCATGCCCTGCTGTTTCTATTGAAATTCTCTGCCATTGTAGCTTGAAAGTAGTCAGATAATATGGGTGGGTCTGGTTGTGCTTTAATGCAACTTTATAAAAAAAAAATAGGTGCAGTCAGGCCATAGTTTGCTTAGGCCTGCTCTAAAGGATAAAATTCTGGTAGGAGTGTCTGCTGAATATCTCATTTCCTAAATGAAAGTTAACTTTATTTTCATATAAATAGTTTTAAAGCTCTGACTTTATATTCTTTCTCTACTATTCCCCTAGCGTCTGTGATTTTATAGAGTTTTGGATAAGTTAGGGGGACAAGAGAATCTTCATTTACTGGACACAAAGCCTAACCCAGATTGATTCCTTGATGTGGTTGCAGCCACCTGCTGGTTTCTTAAGGTTGTTGCAACTTTGAAGATTGTAGAATTTCTAGTAATCCCACAGTAGTTCTTTATCCCAGACACTAAATCACTAGAAAAGTTAAAAAACAAAGAAACAAGACAAAATGTAAAAAGCTCCTTTCCCTCCTCTAGAGATGCTAATTAGTTGGGGGTAACAGATTTACAAACTTTCCAAGACCGTCAGCCTCAGGTGTTTCTAAGGGAGAACCTGTATTGAGAAGTGCTATACGCTTCAGCTTGTTGCTTCATTTCTGCATTTAAAAAACAAACTTGGATTTAATGGCACTAGATGGTATTTATTTATATTTGAGTTGTGCGATGAAGCTGCCTATCCAGCTTCAAGTTGTTCCCTGCTTGTGTTCTCCAACACTAACCAGGCTGATGGAGCTTATTTATTGACTTATGGGTCACATAGATAATTCTTATAATTAATTGCTAATTATATTAAAGAAGAATTTACTTTGAGGCTGACAAGTTATGAAAAGATAAAATAGAGTTGTTGAGATTCAGTCATGTGTAAAGAAGGAAACCAGCAAATGACTACATTTATATGGTTTATATAATACACCAGTTTTGAGCTACCACACTACTAGAGAAGGTTTTTATGTGGTGATGAAGTGATGTAATTATAGAAGTTAATTAAACAGATCTGTTTTCTGCATGTGAATAGCACAGTTGATTGGAAAGCCAAGTTAATCATTCACTGTTTTTCAGTGTGGGGGGTGGTCTTCATAGACTATTAGCTTCCAACCTTCATCTTGTTTTAAAATTGGCTTTAATATCTGGAGCTTTTATTTTTAGATTTCATTCACATTTTGCAGTTTATATTTTGATATTTAGAAGTAGTAGCGCATTTTTTTTTTTTAGTCTACAGAACCTAAGATGGTCACTTAATGTCTAGAAATAGACAGTAGTCTGTCATTAAAGAAGGATAGCTCAATGATTTATAATTTTTATGAAGTGACTATGAATAAAATCAGACTATATATTCAATTTGTAGAATTTTAATGCTAAAAATGAAACAAATTAGGCCACTGCAAGATCATTAAATACAATAAAAGACTTACAGAATTAAAACACTTGGTAATTTCATAGTGACTCTTAAAATAGAATAAATATGTCCAGAACTGTATCCTAAGTCTGTGTTCCAGATAGCCAAGGCCTCTGATATTTTCCTAAACCAATGTTTCACTCCATTGTTTCTGAAGTTTTATTTAAACTGCCTGTCATGATGGCCTGTTACCTCCTTTCAGCTAAGCCTTGGTTCTTTTCTTCACATTTGCTTTTTCAGAAAGTTTTTCCCTGATTAATTCAGCATCCTCAACCACATCTTACTATCTAACGATACAGTTCATATTATATATGTGTGTGTGTGTGTGTGTGTGTAGTATATTGCTCATATTTGTTATGTTTCCTATGTTATTTGTTATGTTTCCTAAACCTATCAACAAATGGCAAACACTGTCATAGAAGAAAGAAATTTTTCTCTCTCTTTATAGTTCTAGAGATAAGAACTCTGAAATCAAGGTATTAGCAAAGCCATGTTCCCTCTGGAAGTTGCCTTTTTCAACCTCTGGTTGTTGCCATTAGTCCTAGGTGTTCCTCAACATTATCACAGTGTCTTTTCATATGGCTTTTTTATAAGGACTCTAGTTATTGAATTGGGGACCCACCGTAGTTCAGTAGTAGTTCAGTATGACTTCATGTTAATATCATCTTCAGTAAAGGTTATATTTTGAGATTATAGATAGACGTGAATTTTGGGAAGCACTTTTAAACCTAGTGTAGTTAAGGAACATGTAATGTTTCTCATCTTTGTTTCTGTTCTGCTTATCCAGTAGACTGTAAACACTTCTAATAACAAGTTATTAGAAATTAAACTTTTGCAAAGAGCTTTGATTGCTTGCTTGCTTGCTTGATTGAGACAGTCTTGCTATGTATTTAGGGCTGGTCTTGAACTCACTCTGGAGCTCAGTATGGCCTTAGATCCACAGTGTTCCTCCTGTCTCAGCTTCCCAAGTGCTAGAATTACATGCATGTACTATGATGTCCAGTTGTGAAGAACTTTTAAAAATAGCTCTATTTTAATATGTTATATATTATAGTTTTTCCCAACATGATATAAAATAAATGAGAGCAGTACATTTTCCATTTATTAAAGATAAAAAATGTCATTTGAATTTTTGCTACCTTTTAAAAATCTTTTTTTCTTTATTTTAGGACTGCAGCATTCAAGAGAAAATAGACTTAGAAATTCGAATTCGCGAAGGAATATGGAAACTTCTTTCCCTGAGCACTCAAAAAGACCAGGTTTTACATGCAGTTAAGAATCTCATGGTGTGCAATGCTCGAATAGTGGCTTATACATCTGAGCTGCAGAAATTAGAAAAGCAGATTGCAGACCAAACTGGACAATGGTTAGTAGCATAATTTACTTGTGACTTTTAATGTACCTCAGTATTTGAACTTAAGTACAAATGCAAACCACCAAATCTTTGTAAAAACAAATGTAGTGAAATAGCAGCTGACATCATACACATTTTGACAAGAGTTGGGTAAACTTCCTGTAAAGCAGCAGCGTCTGTTGGGCAATTTCGTTGTGCTCAGTAAGTTACTGAGCACATAAAATAAAAATGGTTAAGAAGCAAGGAACATTTTAAGGAAAACTGACCAAGCCTGGTAGTTGAGTACATAGAAATGTAGAGAAAAAAATCAACTACTTAGAGCTATGCTAATAAAAAAGTGCTAAGAGTAGTAAAAAGTTAAAATGAGTTGGCAGCAAATTTAAAAAGATGTAAAACCTTATGAATGGGAAAAACCCTAAGAATCTGCTAGCACATCCTTTCATATGATGAACATAAGTTCCAGATAGGAAAATGATTTACTTAAGGACCTGTATCTAGTTAAGTGACAAAAGCTAATGATAGTTCAGATTTTCTAAGTAACTCCTGTTCCATATTCTCTCTGTTACTCCATGGTACCTTTTTGGATTAGATCTATGATATGTGTATTAAATTATACCCTATTCTGTTTACAGTGCCAAGTCTTACTTGGACCTAAGTATGGGCCCAATTTAGTGGCTTATATAAATTATCTTATACCATTGTGTGTTGATGCACAAGTGAGAAGTTTTTTGTAGACTATAGTTGTTATTGAGCTGGTCACAATATGTTTTCATTAAATTCTTGACAAGTAAGTGAAAATAGATCAGAGAAGATGTTTGTAAAAGTAAAATACAGTAACAATGTAATAGACCTGGGTACAAAGTAGCCGTACTCATGAATTATATTGCAGTAGATGAGTTATTTTAATATAATTGTGCCTCCATTCATTATAGTAGACATGGTAATATTATTTGGATTTTGTATGTATGCATATATATACACATATCTCTATCTGTATAGTTATCATGTAATGTCTTTTGCATACTTGGCACTTAACAATTGTCAGGTAGTTCTCTTGTTATGTGCCCTAGGCAATAGTAGTGAAATTGCTCGTGTGTCATAATCTAGGATGGTACTTTTTTGATACACATACATTTGTTTTAGTTATTGCTTCTCAAAGTGGGTCACATATGTCACTGAGAATACATGATGGTGTGTCAGGAGATATGCAAAGCCTTGCAAATAAATACAGCACATTTTAGAGGATGAAAGTTTTAGATGAAGTATGAGAATTTAAAATGTGATATGGTTTTAGGTTATGTTCTCAGTTTTTATTGTGGCATTTTCAAGGTCAGGACAATTTTAGAGGGGAAATTTAAGAAGTTCTGATTTAAGGAAGTATAGGACTAAGTAATCAGTTATATCTTTTATCACAATACTGGAATATGCTGAACTCATTTATTTCCATCTTGAATGCTCTTTAAGTATTTAATTATGAATTTTGAGTTATCCATTTTCTTAGTATAACTTTTCTGAGGTTGCTGATGTATAAAAAAATGTAAAAATTAAACCTAATCCCTGTAAGATTTATACAGAAAGGATGGGGGAAAGGTAGAATATTGCATTTATAACTAAAAATGTGTACTTTAATTTCTTTTTTTGTGGTTATCTTTTATAGATGAAAATATCTTTGTTTCTATGCACATATTTATATTTATCACTCATGAAAACATTGTTGCTTATATTATTGAAATTATTTCTAGAATCTTAAATTGAATATTGTGTTTGGATTCTTTTGTTTGAAGCTTCATTGTATAGGTGCAAATAAAATCTGAGGCCACTGATCAAATACAACTGGAAATTTTAATACATGCTTTATTATTACATAAAAATGAATCAAAGATTAATGAGTGTTATGATAATTTAGTTCCTTGAGGAAAGTTGTGTAAATTATGCCTTTTAATTAGTCAGCTATATTTTACCAAGTATCTATTAAGTGAAGACCACTTACTAAACACTGTGCTAATGTGTCCATACACAAAAACCACAGCTTGTCCACAAAGAACAGTTTATGAATGTACAGCAAATACATTGCTTTTGAAACTCAGGATCTGTTTCTTGGTTTATTTAGTCTTTGAGACACAAATGCTCCATTTTATATTATACTTATAAAATAAATAGCATTAATGAGAGGAACACTAGTCTGTCCTTTAAAATTTTATGATAATATGTTGAAAATATAGATGGTAACCTGGACTTTTTCAAAGAAGAATCAAATCAGCATGGAATGGGGGGACAGAGAAGTGGAGTCTGGATCTTATAGCTTGTGAAGGATGGAGAGTTCAGTTTAGTGAGTAGGAGCAAAACAGCATTCCAAGAAAAAGAAATAGCAGAGTGCAAACTGAGGGTGGAAGATGAGCATGGATTACACAAGAGCACTGGAGAGATGTGTTTGAGGCTAAAGAGTAAGCCAAAGATGAAAAGAAAGGAGGTGGGATACAGTATTTGAGAAAGCCTAGAATGCCAGGAAAATTGTGGGTACTGACAGCATTTCTAGGTGTCAGGAATTGGGCTGAGTGTTCACAAGTATCATCTTATGGAAGAATTGAGAACTAGGAGTTAGAACCAGTAGATAACTGTTTTAAGGGCACACAGGGCCTGTGGGGCTAAGACTTGAACCCAGATAATTTAAAGCCTGTGTTCCTTCCTTCAGAATAAAAGTCAGTGGCCTTTTACCCACTCTGACTGCCACACTGAGCTGTCATAGGGCTTAACATTTATCTGTTTATGACTTACCCTTTATCGTTTTATTTTATACAGGGAAGAGGCATGATAAAATAGGTGTCTGGGGTTTATCTAAGTATTAAAAGGGTAGTGAGGCAAACTCATTGAAATAACCAATTTTTAAGTCAAATATTTAAGAATAGACAGATGGATCTAATAACTGTATAACTTGGTTAGGAAAATGAGGAAATCACAAGTAACACATTTCCGCAGGGCTTATCTAATAGATCTTCACTCAGAGTGTTCTCTATCCAGATAATCATTCTGCTAACAGTTTTCAGCCATTTCTCAATTTGAGTTTATTAAAACCATCAACTAATCTTACTTCATTTTATAGCCTTTTTAAAGATTAGTTTCCTGGGGTTTCAGGAAAGAATTAAACCCTAATGCCCCAAGACATTCTGCTTAATGCATTCACTTAGTTTTTGTATACTAAAATAGTGCTACTTTTGTTACCAACCTTGGAAGAATTGAAAATATTTACTCTGTGGTTTAGATGAGGCACTCCGGTTAGGAAATCAGTGATGATATTTTTTAAACCACATGCTCTGAGAGTATTCATAACTAGCTAAATGTTTCAATACCATAGTATTCCAGTAATACAGTATAACTAAAATGTTACCCTAAATACCTGCTATTATACTGCTTGTTTTTTATGCCTAAAAAAAAAAAACCCTCAAATTTATGTACAATTCAAAGTAGACTCCAACTGTTCTGAAAAAGTGGATGTTGAAGGTGAGAGACAGACCTTCCTCAATTTAGGGAGTAGAATGGCTTGTTTTGCTTGTCTTTTAATTGGTAAACTAGACTATCCTTTAACTTTTTCCTGCTTCTAATAAGTAGAATATCTCTCTTTAAAAGACTACTTTGGTCATACCACTTCTCGAAAAATGGATATTGCTTGTCCCTTACCAAATTGTATTAGATCTAATTCCAAACTATTTTCATAGTTCTCCTCCTTTCTTGCCCTCTTCTAGGGATGAAACCCAAGGCCTTGTGCATGCTAGGCAAGAACTTTACCACTGCACATTATCCCCAGCTTTTTATGAAACTGTCTGCTAAGCTGCCATCCTTCAAATTCGCCATCCTCTTGCTTTAGCCTCCCAAGTACCTGGCATTGCAGGCAAATATTAATGTGACCAGCTTATCTCTCATCTGTTTGTCTTTGTCTTTTTCTTTATCTTTCTCTCTCTTTTTCTTTTTTTTTTTTTTTTTTTTTTTTTTTTTTTTTTTTTTTTGGTCTTTTTGAGACTGGGTTTCACTATTGGTTCAGGCTGGCCCTGAACTCACTTTGTAGTCCAGGCTCGCCTCAGTTTTCCAAGTGCTGGGATTATAGACATATGCCATCATGCCTGGCCAATTTCTGCTTTATCTATTTGTTGCAGACAAATGCTTGATCTGTATTCTGTAAACAGTTTTTAAATTTTCTTCTCCAGAGCCTTTGCTTATATACTAAAGTGCCCTGTCTTCCATTCCCACTTAGCAAAACCTCTGGTGTGTTGAGTCATTAACTGCTACATCAGAGTTTCCTTGATAATTCTATATAGAAAGTGATTAATTTTTTTCCCTTTATGCCCATAGTAAGGACTCAAAAATCATTACTTGCCTACTAGTTCTGGTAGCATCTGAACTGTGCATCACTCACTATAATTTACTGTAACTTATGAAGTGTGTATAAATACATCTTTTCAATTAGATTATGAAGTTTTGGCACAAGACAGTGGCCTGATTCTTATCAATGAAATAAAGATGTTATCCTCTCGTTTCATAGACTGGAACATTGAGACAATTCTAATGTTAGTTCACTTTCTCTGTCTTCTTTGTGCACTGAGAACACCTAAGAGTTCTGTACACTTTCAATTTAACCTGTTGCATTAATAGTAAATAGTTTGGTGCCCCATATCCCTTCATGTGGAGAATGAGCAATTGGGAATGAGAGATAATAGTTAAGTAGTTAATAGTTACATTAGTTATTCATTTATTGATGACTTTTTCATGTTCTTAGGCTTTTACTATGTTTTGTTGTACCCAAGCCTCTTTGGTGGTCATGTTCTAGGTTATCTATCATATATTCCCTATTTTGTGCACTTTTTAATTCACTTTTTATTATGAAAATTTTTATATATAAAAAATAAAATAATACTCCAATGAACATCATTTACATTATCCACCAAATTGGCCAGTTTGCTGTGTATTCCTCCATTCTAATCTTTCTCTTTTTTCCACTGGCACACACACACCACACACCA